GAGGCAGGGCCCGCCTCCCGCCCACCGCCCAGCCTACCTTTGGCCGCCAGGGGCACCGTGGGCAGGTCCTGCGCGAAGCCCAGGAGCTCGGGGAAGTGCTGGCTCAGCGATTTGGCGAGGATGTGCAGGAAGGTGAGCTTCCCGTCCACGGTCTTGGTGGAGTTCAGCTGCGAGTGACCCCAACACACACCCTCCTCAGGCCTGTCAGCTTGCTGACCACACGGGACCAGGCGTCCCAGCTCGGCTTCTCTCAGACCTGCCTCAGTCCCTGCCCTCAGCGCGACTCCGACACTCAGAACCCCACTGTGTTCCTTCCTCCGGGGTCTTACCTGCTGGGGGGCCACAGGCCCCCCAGGAGCCTGGAGGTCCCTGCCCAGCTCTCTGGGGTCCCGGGAACTAGGCAGGGAGAGGCAGGCCCCAGGTTTCTCTGTCCTTAAGCGTTTGCCTTGTCAGCAGGCAGAGCCCAAACCTCCCTGACTCCCCCGGGGGTGGGGGGGTAGAGAAATTAAGTAATACATCCACAACTTGTAAAAAATGTAAAACCTATAAAACAATATTATATAATGGGGGGGGGGTGAGGGAGGGGAGCATCACTCCCAGGCCTTCCCCTCTTGTGGTTTTCTGAAGCGTCTGTGGCCCTGCTGAGCCTCAGACATCCTAAACCAGTGGTTGGCAAACCGCGGCTCGAGAGCCACATGCGGCTCTTTGGCCCCTTGAGTGTGGCCACGAAGTTTTAATCGCACTGTCCGTGCGCGCCCGCACGTGGTGTTTTGTGGAAGAGCCACACTCAAGGGGTCGCAGTTTGCCGACCACTGTCCTAAACCATTTCTACCTGCAAGTGAAGTTTTTCTTCCTCTTTTGTTAAACGACAAAAGGCTCCCTGGGCAGACGTCCCAGAACACTGGGGGGAAGGCTGGGTACTCATGTTTCTGATCCCAGATCTCGGGGTGGGGGTGGCTGGACTGACAGTGTGGGAGCTGTTGGGGGTACAGAACCTGCCAGGTGGGCGCTCCCCTTCCACTTGGAGTCTTCCCTCCCTGATCCCCGCCCCCCATAGTTCCAGACCGGAGGCTTGGTGTGGAGGAGCACCCTCCCTCCCCCCAACCTTTGCCGCAGTCACATCCTGGCCCCAGGGCAGCCGCTGCTCCTCCTGGGGAAGGCCCCCTGGGTGGTGACGGTGACGTTCCCTCCTCTGCTCTGCTGCCCCCCGCCCCCCCCCCACCTCAATGGCAGAGCAAGACAAGCTCCTCACCTCCGTCAGGAAGTTGATTTTGAAGCCCGTGGTCTTGTTGGTTTTGGGCTGTCCGTCGTTGAGATAGTTGCCCATGGCCAACACAAACTGTGGAAAGGAAGGTGGGCAGGCAGGTACTCCTCCACCCCTCACCCCCTGGCCCTCACCCCCTGGTCCAAGGCGGGAGCCCCAGGGGGCAGAGGGGCAGGTCGGTGACAGGGAGGGGGTGCGCGCTGACCTCCAGGATCTTGGCGAGCTTCCGGCTGTTCTTGAGCTCCAGGGAGGCCTGGCGCAGACACTCCAGGCTGGCCTGGATCTCCTCCGTCTTCTCCTGCAGCGTGGCCTGGAAGTGGAGGCTGCGCAGGCGGGTTTTGTAATCCGGAACTGACAGCATCTGCCGCGAAGGCCGGGCCGGAGTCATCCATCGGCCAGCACCGCCAGGAGACCCACCGCCCCATCGCAGCCTGGGGTCCTGGCTGGCCACGGGGCCAGGTGTTCCCTTAGGACAATAAGCCGGGCCCTAGGGCCACGGGCATCCCATCTAGCTGGATCCCAATGGACCTGGCTCATAAAGGTGTAAATGGGCTGGTTGTGCGGCGACCTATGAATCAGGAGGTCACGGTCAGGGTACATGCCCGGGTTGCGGGCTCGATCCCCCCTTCGTGCAGGAGGCAGCTGATCAATGCTTCTCTCTCATCACTGATGTGGATGTCTCTCTCTCTCTCTCTCTCCCTTCCTCTCAATAAACATATTTTTTAAAAGAGAAAGGTGTAAACTGGTACTCAGGGGTGTGAGCGTGGGGGCGCATGTGGAGCAGGACCGACGCCCCGGACAGGAAGCCGGGATGGAGCCGCGCACCTGCAGGACGAACTGGTCGGGCTCGCTGAGGCGGCCGGGCGCCTCGCGGAAGGCCTGCCGGGCCTGGCGATGGGGCCAAGGAACCTAGGAAGGGGCCTGGAAGGGGACCAGAACCCGGCCAACAAGAGGGCGGGACCTATGCAGGGCCGGTCCGTACCTACTCAGGGGGGACCTGGCAGGATGCGGGAGCTGGGAGGGGCCTCTGCCCCGCTGGATGGCAGGTGTATATTGGGGGGGGGCTGTGAGGGGGTTACAGCCTAATTTCTGTTTCCTATCAGGGCGGCCGCCCCCTGCCCCCCGCAGCCCCGGGACCCCCTGCTCCTCACAGGTGTTGTAGGCCTTCTTGTGGGACAGGATCTCCACCACCTCCTTCTTCCTGAAGGGCTCGGGCCTGGGCACGGGCTCTGGGAGGGAAATGATGGCTGAGCGAGGGAGGCCAGGCGAGGCTGCTGTGAGAGGACCCAGGGGGTTGGCCACCCCCACAGCCCAGGCGCCCCCTTTCTGTGGCCGAGACTGAATCAGCTCTGGGCCCCACTCGCGCACTCTCGGACCCAGCCTAGCATTCAGCATGCACGGCACCTCCCTCCCCGTCCTCTCTCCCCGGCTGGTGGGGCTGAGCTGCCCGGGTGAGGGGACCAACCCCCTCTGGGCCTTGCAGATGCCTCCTGGGTGGACATGGCCTTTCTCTTCCATCGGGGACCACTGTCCACACAGGATCCCTGGCTGCCTGCAACCCCCTCCCCACCCCCCAACAACTACAGGGAGGGGCACAGAGAGGGCGAGGGGAGGGGCTGGGAGGGCACAGTGGACGCCTCCTGTCGGCCTCTGTGACTGAGGTCACCCAGCCCCCTGTGCTTCCTCATCAGGAAGTCATCAGTGTCTCGGGTTGGATTTGAAATGGGGGTGCAGGGTGTCTGGCGTGCAGTAACTATGCCATAGACGCCAGCTCTCAGTCTCCCCGTTCTGAGGTGGGAAACTGAGCTCTGAGGCCTTAACTCAGGGACACAGTGAGTGAACGGACTGACGTCAGCGCAGCCCTCGGGGGCTCTGAGCCCTGGGCTGTCCCCAAGGGCAGTGGGCGGGTTGCCACAGCGACCCGGGGATGGGGGTCCCGCGGGGCCCTCAGGCCACTCACTAGCCGGTTTCTGGGTGCCAAAGTGGAGCTCCAGGTCGAGGTATTTCACCATGTCACTCAGCTTATCATAGTCAGAGTCCTCCCCCAACTGCAAGGGAGGGCGGCTCGCAGTGAGGAGGAGCCGGGCAGCTGGGCTGCCGCCCCCACCCCCCCCACCCCCGCAGGGAGAGCCCCCTCGGGCGCTGGGATAAACCCCGGGCATCACCCGCTCTCAGGTATGAGCCGCTCCTCTGCTGGCCAATCACACGCTCGCCTGGAGCCCCCAGCAGAGGCCTGCCCTGTGTCGGGCGGGGCTGCAGGGCTGCAAAGGGGCTGGAGCCCCCAGTGGGTCTGGCCCTGCTTTGAGGTGTCCTTTGCAGGGAGTGAGCTGATGCCGGAAACGGAGCCAGGGAAATGCGGGCGGGGGGGGGGGG